TGAGATAGCCTTTCCTTTCTCCTTTCTTTGATCTTCAAAGTTCATCTCTCTAGACTTTAGACTACCAATTAAGTCGTCCAGCCGTAGAGATGATGTGTCTTTGGCCTCCTCAATAGCAGTAACCGTCATGCTGAATCTTTCTGGGAGAGTTCTCAATACCTTATTCACCAGTGTCTCATTGCTTAAAGGACCACCTAAGGATTGAAATTCATTAGCTAAATCAATCAATTTCTCATTGTACTGAGAAATTGTTTCAGTTTCTTCCATTCTCAGTCTCTCGAATTTGGAGGAGAGTAATCTGAGCTTAGTTCTTCTGACACTGTCTGATCCTTCACAATGTAGCTGAAGAACTTCCCAAGCATCCTTCGCAGAAGTGCACACTGAAATCAATTTAAACATTGTTAAATCTACTGAATTGAAGATTGCATTTAACGCCTTTGAGTTTTGATTGGCATTTGATAGATCATCTGCTGTCCACCGTAATTCTGGTGTTGGAAATACATCCCCATCTGCATCTGTGATTGTTGGTGCCTTCCATCCAGTGAGAATGGATCTCCAGGCTCTCTCATCAATGGCTTTGATGTATGCCCTCATCTTGACTTTCCAGTAGGTGTAGTTTGTGCCGTCGAGTACAGGAGGTCGCATAGAAGCAGTCATCTGAGTATCCATCACGAATTCGTTTCTGAAAAAGAAAAATAGGAACAAACACTTAGTATACGTCAAGTGTTGGCTCTTGATGCCAATTGAAAGAATTTATGGTCCCGAATTCGTATTATACAGAGATGTTATCTGAAGTGTTGTGACACTTGAGACAACATACAGCGGAAATATAAAGATTGAAAGACAGTACTCAGAATTAAAAAATGTTCACAAGTAAAGACTTGTGAACTTGCCCTTTACAGGACGGAAAAATATATTAAAATCAGTATTCCAAGAATACAAACAGAAGAGGTGCGAAAACTTCTTCCTTATGAATGAATCTTTTTCAAGATCATTCTTACAATCAAATCTAGATACTAAAAGAAAAATATTAAAAATTCTAGATTTCAAAGAATGTACTCGTGAGGAGTACGTAAAGAAATTATGAATGAATCACTATCTTGATCATTCTTACAACCAAGTCTAGAAACATATATACTAAACAATCTAGACTACAAAGAATGTACTTATGAGAAGTACGTAAAGAATGTACTCATGAGGAGTACGTAAAGAATGTACTCATGAGGAGTACAAACGACCGATATATTCTAAAACCACTCTAAAACACTCGTGAATATTCTTCAGCCCTCGGTTTTTATTTCGTAGAATCGATTATCTTCCTTGAGTATTGAAGTCGGTATTTATAGGCATTCCAAGCATCCACTCCTCAGCCCATGATCTGCAAGAAAACCAACTACAAGAGTACTCAAGAACATGGGTTAGTGGGTTAGTGGGTTAGTTTAAGGAGTTAGAATAATATTCACAATTAAACCCACTTAAGCACTACTTAGCCCACTAAGCACTATACTTAACCCACTAAGCACTATTTATTCCATAACTAAAATTTAGTTAGAAAATAAGAAAGTTAAAAATAACATGTGGAAATAATCCACGTAATTCAGTATTGATACTTTACCACTCCTCCGAGTTATATATTTACTGGGTGACTTTACAGTGTGCCACAAACTTTTCTCTTGAGACACCACGCGAGTCTATTTCAATTGACAATTATGTGCTTGTTAGCTCCGAGCTAACAAGCGACACAAGATCTCGGGAAAATTATTACTTCACTTTGAGAGCTCCGAACCAGATCCGGACGCCCTTTTTCGGGGTCACAAATTTCAGCAAGCCAATTTTGGGATTGTACAGTGTGGCAGAGATGGGTAGTCTTCTACTCCGGCTCGGCATCGTATTCCTTAGCAGATTTCGAGGTTATTTGTCTCGCTGAGTTAGATCTCTTTGACGAAGAAAGCTGCTTCATTTTCTTCTTACTCGCTTCGCGATTTCAATCTGCTCTTGCCTGCCATCTTGGTTACAGAACGACGTATCCCCTCTGTACATGATGTCGCTGTTTTGGCTGAGGGGTCGTCGGCAAAGAGAGCAGCAACCGGAAAAAGGGATTAATAACCGTCGTATTCGCAGCCGGAGTAATGCAATCACATTTGAAATAAAACCGCTGAAAATCCCACCACATTTGGGTGAAAATCGAACGGAACTAGAATTAGTCTTTCGAACAAAATTTAATTTTTCTGATAGTGAAAAAGCTACTTTCAGTTCTATATTAAAAAGAAAAATTCGAATGAAAAAACTTGTTTCTTAACCGAAATGAAGCCGTTAAGAAGGATCTGTCTTTAAGACATGGACCATTTCAGCTGGACATATGTTTTGCAGCTAGGATATATAACTTGCGACTTTGACTTTGGTCATCTCTCTCTCTCTCTCTCTCTCTCTCTCTCTCTCTCTCTCTCTCTCTCTCTCTCTCTCTCTCTCTCTCTCTCTCTCTCTCACGGTGTACGGTTCGTACTGATTCTTTGAACAACAACCTTTCTTACACACAAATTGGAAATATATGGTTTCAAGTTTATAAAGATGTTAGAGATTGGTTAGTACATGCAAATACATATCCATACCGTTCGAAGTTTAGCCCACTTTCTCTGTCGAATCTGCTCGAAAATATATGAAGACGAGAGGAGTAGATGTGTGAGAGAAAGAAAGTGAAATAATTAACAAGTGACATTCAAGAGAATAGGAAAAGAAAAAAAAGAAAAGAGGATTTGATATTAGAAATGCAGCCAAATAAGTATCCCACATCGAAAGTTTAAGGAAATATGCGCTGATGAAAGTACTATAAAATAGGCTGTGTATCAGATGTTTGAAAGTATGATCCTTCAGGCAAGTTTTAACGGGAAGTGATGAGTGGTAAAAATCTCGCAATTAAAAATGCGAGATGGGTGCCTGCCTAGCCTGTTACGACAACTGGGCACTCCCTTCTTCACCTATCTGATCCTTTTTACTCCATCTATTATTTACCCAATAGGGGTAATAATTGAACATTTTTTTTATTTTAGTTCAACTTTTTATTTATTTTATTATATTTAGTTAATTATATTTTTCATGTAAGGTTGTAGAAAATTTATAATTTTGTATTTTTTTAAATTTATTTTGATAAATTAATAGTAAATATATATAAGACTTTGATTTATAAATTACTTTTTGAAAATTTCAGGCAACGGATGCGCTTTTGGAATTAATTTCTTTTGTAATTTATATTACAGAAAACTTTAGGGTAAGTAAGAATTAGTGAAAAAAATATGCTTACAAAATTCAATGGAGTTCTGAAACTAAAAATAATTTCTTGTCCCTCATTCTAATTTACATTTATCTTTTCGTGATAGATTTCTATGTTTGTGTCATTGAGTGATGGAGTTAGATGTTACACCTCAGTATATTCAATTCACCGGTTAAATAACCACTACTAAGCACATAAAAATGGATGTGTGTATAATTATGTGTGTATCTTTCGTTAACAAGCAATCCAGTGTAAATAACCACTAATTTTCTCATTAAGTGCGAGGAAAAAGAACAGAGAGATCAATCTTATGAGCCATATGTAAATTTAGGGGTATATTCGCTTTTTAAAACGATAAATTTCAAAATCAAAATTATGATTGTGGGGTTTGAGAATTTGTGTACAGTAAATAAATGTAGGATGCATTTTACCATGAGACAGTTTAAGAGTGAAATTTTGCCAATTTCACGGCGCAAAATGTCAATTTATGTTATTTCTAGGGTGTCAAATGTAATTCACCCCATATTTTAAACCTAAAATGAAATTACACCTACCAAAATACCATTAATATCAACCAAAACCACCTTATTCACATTATATCTACACTTTCAACATTTAACATCTTTCAATGCCGGAAAAAAAAAAATCATTTTAATACCTTCGTATAATCAACTTGGAGCGTCGTCTAAGAACGTTTACAAGAAGAAACCACAAGAATAGATATTCCGGGATTTAAGAACACAAAATATAATCTAGCTCTAATCAACTGAAAAATGAATCTGCACAAGCCCTACAAAGTTTCAAGATTCATATTCAGACTATTGCAATTTGCATTTAAAAACATAAATAAAATAATGGAGGGAAATTAAATAACTATTGACTATTTCTAAATAATGGAGAGGAAATTAAATAATAGACGTGGGGAGATAGATCATTGAGCAGAGCACTAATTGCCCAATATCTGGAATCAAAAGATACTAAAAGATGGGATTCGTAAAACGAATGAAATTCATAATCATCGGACAAAACCATTGTTGTCTATCGATCGATCACATATAAGAATGATTACATCGAATTAAACAATTAAGTAGAAAATTGACAAACAGCGAAATTACTGCAAGTTGTATCTATCCTCTGATATTTACCATCTTATTTCGATATTAATTAGCCTCGTAATCTTTGTTAACGTATACCACGAGTACTAGATAACACAAACAAATCTCTCGTGTCGTCAAATTACCGCCAACTAACCTTAAAATCACACTCGTTGGTCGAGCAATAGGTTATATGCAGGATCATCACTCGTCAATTTTACGGAAAAACTACGATTGATAAGGGATGATGATGATATGCCATTCCACGCCTATTCTATATCGATTAATCAATTGAAACGACCGATTATTATTCTCGAAGGGCTAAAGAATATGCTTCGTATCATTATCCTAAATCCTAATAAAAATAAAATTTATCGAATCGATGGTCGTCTCTTTTATACATCTTTTAACCATACCTCACCAAAATGTTAAACGACCGTTTTATCTAAAACAAAATTAAGCTGACTTGATATTTATATCTCCAATACGAAAAACGAAAAAAGAAAAAAAAAAAATCATGATCCATTTTTTTATAAATAAGATAAAAACTCAAAGACTCAATAAATCTTAGAAAAAAAATTATATCTATATATATATATAGATATAAAAAAAATTGAACAGAATCAAAGCTACAGGGATTCAAAAAGCATCACAATTCATCACAACTGATAAATGTTACTGGTACAGAGCAGTGAAAAATACAATTTTCGATCATCAAACAAATTCAGATTAAATTACACAGTAAAAAAAAAATAAAAAACAAAGTACAGATTCAAAATTAAACAACAGCGGCAACAGATAATTACCATGGAAGAAGCAGTACTGAACTAATCAAGCTGATAATAATCACCGCGGATTCTGTCGGGATGAAGACAGGCAACAGCGTACAGAGCGTAGATGATCCCAGGAATATACCCTAGAATCGTCAACACCAAGCAGATACAGAACTCCACCTGCGACCGAAAATCGGGAATAAATACAAAATTGAAAACCTAAAAAAATTAGATCTTTGCTTGATTTGGGGGAAAAATTGAAAAAGGAAGAGCTTACGGAGCAGCATCCATGGCGGAGGCAAACGCCGAGAGGAGGGAGCAGAATTGCAATAAGGATCTCGCAGAAGGTCGCACATCCCCCCATTTTTTTTCTTCTTCTTCCTTGTTTCTCTCACTACCTTTTTTTTTACTTCTCTCTTGTTTTTAAGTCTAGAGAGAGAGAGAGAGATTTGATTTATAACTACTTTGCCTCTGATTTTTATTTTTATTTATTTACAGTACATACTGGCATACATGTTATCGAATATATATTAATTACATTCACCACCCCAATATTATGTCAAAATTCCGAAAACACCCACTGGTTATTAATATTAGCACCAATAGGCAATAGTCGAAGTTTGTGTTTGTTTCTACAAATTTGAAGAGAGAGTGATATAAATGCAATTTGAAAACTATTTTGATTGAATTGCAAAAGTTCCTTGTATTTTGGACAAAATGCACTTCGCCTACTATAAATTTCTCATTTTCGCATTTTACCCACTAAAACTCCAAAAAAATGATATTCTTCCTTCGAAATACTATTTTGGTCGCACTTTGCCCCATAAGCCAATTTTGGGAGGGCATTGTGCAGCAAAAATAACATTTTAAAGGGGCAACGTGCAAAAAAAGGTAGTGTTTTTAAGGGGTGATATGCAACAAAATTAACATTTCAAGGGGCAGCGTTCAACAAAATACTCAATTCCGATGAATCATCTATTAGAGTTTTGCTATTGGGTAATGTGCAACAAGAATAATATTTTGAAGGGGGCATTCACTTTTAAAAAAATTGAGGGTGGGAAATGCAAAAATTAGAAATTTACAGGGGTGATGTACAATTTGCCCTTGTATTTTTTTCTATTTGCTAAAGAAACCCAAAGCTTACCACTTTTGTTAATTACTAAAAAGCTTCACGACTTTTGTATCAATTTCCGAGTTGGTCAACGGTTTGGGGCAATTAACAAAAAAGTAAAATGTATAGGGTGATTTACTCTAATACTAATAACTGAATGGTGTTTTTAGCAATTCAATATAATAAAGAGGTGTTGAATGCAATTGATTTGGGGCAATGAACAAAGAATATAATTAATGTTGGTAAATCATTATTTTGTATTTTAATGAAAATTAAAAAATCCGAAACCCAAAATTCGAAAACCCGAAGTGTTTATCAATAGGGTTAGAAAAATGACAAAATTAGCATAGCATCAATCTATATTTTCCTTTGTTGCTCAATTTTTAATGATTTGGAAGAAGTTGAACGAACTGAACTACAGTAAAACCTCGATAAATTAATAACTTTGCATAAATAATTTTTTTTTTCCGGTCGCAACTCTATAAAACACATACTAAATTATTAGTTCGATGGTTTAATATTTTGCAAAGTTTGTTACATTTTGCTAGTCCGACTGTATTAATTTATACAGACTTAAGTGTATGTTTTGGCCATGGTTTAAAAAAGACTTGTTTAATAAAATTTCAACCTATTTACTTTCAATAACAAGTTTTTAAAGTATGCTATACATGTATTTCATTTAAATTTAATTATTCAGACATGTTATAGATGTCAATTGAGAATTTAGACGTGGTGATTACTTTCAATAATAAATTTAAAATAATTGATGATGAAATATTAATATATTGTATGATATTCTCTCAATCAAACAAATCTTGCAACATAAATAAATGCATCGAATTGATTTGTTAGATATAATAAAATAAAATGAAATTAGCACCATATGTTACAGTTATAAAAAACAAAGAAAAGAAAAGAAACGTCGAAATTACAGTTTTAACCCCTTAAATTTGCATCAATTACACATTTGGTTCCTCATGTTACAATAATTTAACATTTTTGGTTATTTCCGTCAATTTACCATTGGTCTGTTAGTTAAGGCAGTGATGGACACATGCTTGATTCTGTTAGTTTTAATGGGAAATTGACGAAAATGACTAAAAGTGTTGAATTTTTGCAACATAAGGGACTAAATGTGTGTTTTGCGAACATAGGGAACCAAATGTGTAATTAGTGCAAACTTGAGGGACACAAATTGTATATTTCCCGAAAAGAAATGTTTGAAATTAAAGAAAGTAATTAAGGATAGATGGGCTGCAAATATTCTTGATCGTTGGATTGTCCACCTCGAACAACAATAGCATAGACAGCATATATAATCCCAGGAACATAGCCCAATAGGGTGAGCACCACACAAATCAAGAACTCACACTGCAATTTAATAACAAATAAATTAATTAAGATTTCTCGTGTAAGAGTATTTTTTCATGCAAAAGAAGTGAGAGAGAGAGAGAGAGCATATACACTGCAACAACCATCTCGAAAGAAGACTCCTAATGGTGGTACAACTATTGCAAGAAGAATTTCCAAGAAGGTCGCACACCTTGAGCTTGATGCCATTTTTTTACTAATTTTCTAATTCAACAAGCAATTGTGGAAGATATATATATATATATATATATATATATATATATATATATATATATATATATATATATATATATATATATATATATATATATATATATATGTGTGTGTGTGTGTGTGTGTGAGTGATAGTTTTGGAATTGCTAGTCTTTAGGGAATGAATGACATTGAAAGAATTATTGACATATGAAGGAATTATTATAGGATCTTACTAGCTATTTAAGGGGATTAATACACAAGGATGTACGATTTTCGATATATGGGTCAAAGAATTGACACATGCTCACTTGGGCACTGTTAGACTTGGGCACTGTTAGACTTGAGTTTGGTTTGAATTTGGTTCAACTATTATATAGTTTTTTTTGACAGAATTCTGTTTGAGTCGGATCAAACCTATAATCCAAAACCTATCCAATATCAATGCAATTAAACTGGTTCGGTTCAGCAATGAATGATCTAGTGGTTGGGGCAAGCGAGCTTGTGTCAATTGACCTCGATCCAAATCCTCTTGCCAACGATCGTTAGGACGAACTTGTTACACATGGTTAGCCTAGTGTAGTTTACAAGCTAATATACGAGAATGCAAATTTACCTAGTAACCTCATGTTGAGTGTAGATATTACACTCAACACGTTTACATTACGTGGATCTTTTGTTTAGATTTAATTATATTTGTACTTTAATTAATTGATTTTGTGTTTTATAGGTGAAAAACGAGAATTAGGTTCCATGAAGGAAAAAAGATCAAAAAGAAAGGAAAAAGTTGCAAATAAGGAAACAAATCAAATTGGAAGAAGGAATCTCGCCACAGCTTTGACAGTGTCCACCATTTCGAGCATATCTCTCTCATACCAACTCCGAATTAGGTTATTTTGACGGCATTGGAAATCTAATTTCAAGAGCTACAATTCTTATTTACACAACATTCCAAAATTTGGACTCCAACATGGCACAAATCACCGAACAAATCCTGATGGGGGAAAGTGGCGGAAATTGATTCCTATTAGGTTTCCACTACTTCCTTATCAAGAAAAGCCTATAAAAGCAACAAGTCTCTACACCATAAGGACGAAATTTTACACCACAAAACACGAAGAACGAAGATCAACGAAGACTCAAGCATAGTTATTCTTATTTATTTTATTTATTCTATTTTGTTTATCATAAGAATTACGAGTAGCTAAGTTTTTATTCTAGGATTTTATTTGAACCATATGTGGTGATTCGAACCTATTTTTCTAATATTATGCAAGTTTAAATTCCATGATTATTTCTTCTATTTGATCTTGTTTAGCGCATGAACCTAGCTAATTTATGTTGCTATGTGTTATTGTTAGAATTGATTGACAGATCGTTTTAATAATTAGAACATTGATAGAAGAGCCTTCGAGTAGTTTTCACCGGATAAGTGTGTCAATTGCATGTTTTATCGTAGACATACAGATAATACCTTAGGTAGCCATTTACGAGACTTGTTAGTTAATGTTTTATTCATAATTGCTTTGCATAGACATATAGTGAATCGGTTATAAATAATAGACTCATAATACACGCGACAACGGGTTATGAGTAATTGAGTGTTTCGGGTTAATAATCAGGAATCGCAACTTGCATGATTGAGGTTAATTGGGTGAAGAATTATCGCATAGGGGGAAGATAAAATCCTAGATCTGTTTTTATTTATATATTATTGTGTTTATTTGCTTTCATAAATAGTTTAATTATTTAGTTGATTATATTTGACAACCTTGCGTAGGCTGGATAAAAATCATAATTGTTAGAATTTGGTACTTAGAATTAGGTAATTTGAGTATTCCCTTTGGGATCGACATCCGACTCTTACGAGTCCACTTTTACTACTTGTTTGCGATACGTGCACTTGCGTGTTAGATATTTAGCCCAACAAGTTTTTGGCGTCGTTGCCGGGGAATACGGCTAAATTATCTATTTATTCTTATATCAAATTTGAGCAATTTTTCTTACTCCAACCATTTTATTTTTATTTTTCATTTTTATTTTTAATTTTTATTTTTTGTTGTTTTTGTTTCATGTTTGGTTACAATGTTCGGGCACCTCAAACGGGATATGAATGGCTTCCATCTGACGAATACCTCCAAAACACCTATGATATGCCTCTGTTTTGTTCAGCATGTGGTGGAAATCATTATTCCGATCAATGTTGGGGATCACCAACAGCGATGAATTTCGACGAAATTACCAACGGAGGTTATTGGAACACTTACACCAACAACACATACGAGCAAAGCTTTCAAGACCAAGATTTGAACAAGTTTTATCATAGAGAGCCACAATTTGTTGATTTTCAAAATTATTATTCAATGCAGCAACAGCAGACCACTGATGAACAAGTTGATTTGGTATCCCTCATTGCCGAATTCATGAAGTCCACTCAAGCATCATTTCGAAACATGGAGATACAACTGGAAGAGATGACGCTCAAATTAAAATCTGAATCTCTTGAAAATATTCCAGACGAAATCGGCAATGGTTATATCAAATAAAATTTGGGTGAAGCCTGCGGTGAAAAAAATCTTCTATATCCGAAAAATAGTGTCGATGTGAGAGAAATAGAAATTATGAAGACACTTGAGCATGATGAATCTGAGAAGGCAATCGAGCTAAACCACGAAGATGCCTCAGAACAAGCGAAGAAGGAGATGGATGTAATGATTGAAGATATTCTAGTTGTGGACTCTGTCGTTGATCTAAATGTGGATTTG